GTACAGGGATGTGTACAAGTGTTTGTACACTTGTGTGTGCAGGTGTTTGTGCAGGGGGAGTGTACATGTCTGTACAAGTGTATGTACAGGTGTGTGTGCAGGGGTGTGCACAAGTGTATGTACAGGAGTGTGTGCAGGTGTATGTACAGGGGTCTACACGTGTGCACAGATGTATGTACAAGTGCGTACAGGAGTGTTCCAGAGTGTGTGGCATGTACGGGTGTGGGTACAGGGGTGTGCATGTTTGCAGGGGTGTACAGGTGTATGCACAAGTGTGTACAGGGGTGTGCAGGGATACATGTAGGGGTGTGCGGCGTGTACAGGTGTAGGTACAGGGGTGTACCAGAGCGTGTGGCACACGCAGGGGTGTGTGCAGGGGTGTACAGGTGTAGGAACAGGTGTGTGCAGCATGCACAAGTGTATGTACAAGCGTGGACAGGGTGTACAAGGGTGTGTGGCCCACACAGGTGTAGGTACGGGGCAGGGTGTGGTGGGCGCGTGTGTGTTGGTGTCACAGGGGGGTGCGTGTCCAGGGGCACGGGAGATGTCGGGTGACATGGGGTGTGTGTGGGGGGTGGTAGGCCAACCCGTCCTGGCCCCGGCTGCAGAAGCGCCGACGCTTTCTCTGAAAACGGGAGAAACGGCCTTTCCCAAAGGCGGGAACGGATTTAACGAGCCGTGCGATTCGTTTAATGGAAGCGGCGGCTGCTCACGGCTGTCGCCAGCAAAACGCTTCTGGCACCTTCCCCACGCTCCCGCGGGCCCCTTCCCTTCATTAATTTAAAATAACGACCCCGCGAGGTGCCGCAGCCCCGCGCTGGGAAGTGCAAAGCCCCAGGAGGAGCCGCTTGCCCCCGGCCCTCGGGCAGGCTCCGCCGCGCGCGGGGGGCTCAGAGCACGGCCCCGGCCCCCCCGCAGCCCTTGGCGGGGCCGATGTGCCGCTGGCAGGCGAGGATCCTGCGGAGCTCCCCGCGGAAGCGGTCGTGCAGCCACGCGTAGAGGAAGGGGTTGCAGCAGGAGGAGCTCATGGCGAACCAGTGGCAGAGCAGCTGGATGAGGAGGAAGTGGCGCTTGTCGATGAGGTTGATGTCGATGTCCCGGATGACGTTGAAGACGTGGATGGGCAGCCAGCAGACCCCGAAGGCCGCCACCACCAGCACGATGAGGCGGAAGATCTTCCTCTTCCTCAGGCGGTCGAAGGCGGCCTGGCTCCGCGTGGGGTGGCCGGGCAGCACCCGGTTCCTCAGCTTCACCGAGATGCAGATGTAGGAGAGGGAGACGGCGGAGAGGGGCAGGATGTAGGTGATGATCAGGGTGCCGTAGGCGTAGGCCAGGCGCTGTGTCTCCTTCTCCATCCAGAACTCCTCGCAGATGGAGAAGCCCTCCTGCCGGAACTCCACGTGGTACGTGTGGGCGACGGCGGGGGCCACCAGCCCGCAGGAGAGCAGCCAGATACCCCCCACCACGGAGATGCAGCTGGTGACCGAGATGCGCTTCTTCAGGGGGTGCACAGTGGCGTAGTACCTGCGGGGAGAGAAACGGGGGAACCCGACCCCAGAGCAGCCCCTCAGTGGTGGGGGGAGGCACCTCTGGGAGCAGGGACACGGCCCCAAGCGGCTGCTGGGAAAGGGCTGGGGACAGGGGGGCGTGACGGCGTCCCCTGGCTCTGCCACAGGCGCTGTGGAAGCACCAGGTCACTTCTGTTGTGGGGAGCCTGGGGGGCAGCCAGGCCCGGCCCTGCCTCAAGGACCGCAGCAGCCCTCAGCGAGCGGCAGCAAAAAAGATTCCTCTTTTACTTCCTCCCCCCTGAGCATCTTCCTCTCCTCTCCGCGCCCCCTCACCTTACGACCAAGGCTGGGCCCCAGATAAGCTCCCACTGAGGTGTCTCCTGAGGCCACAGTTTGATTTTCCATGGCTCTCACGGACGGACGGAGCTCTGCCCCCCGCCCCTGCCCGGCCCCACGGCGTCGCAGCATCGCGGCATCCAGCGGCACCAACGTGGCCCTGATGGCTCCTCGTGCTGGAGTCCCAGACCAGCAAAGCCCCGCTGTGCCCGCCCGCATTGCAACTGGAGGATTGGGGCTAAAATCATCTATTTGTGACAAATCCCGATGACGTTTTAGGAACATGCTGAGGACACTAGAACTCGGTGGCTGCTTCCTGAGCAGGAGAAACAAGCAAATCATTTTCACCCCAAAAAATAAAAGGGGTTTTGTTGAAGAGCAAAAGAACTCCAGCACTCCTGGGGACATTTCGAGCCCCCGACGAGAGCAGCACAGCTCTGCCAGCAGTCCAGGCTTTCTCAGCTCAAATTTTCCCCTTTTTATATTTTTTTTTCTGTTTCCCTTCCCATGATGGTCCAGCTCTGCTCTCCCCCGGGGGCAGAGGCAAACCAGCATGAGAGGATCTCTCCGTGCTGCCAGCATCACACCCATCCCTGCAGGGTTTGGAGCATCATTTACGAGAGGAGGTCTCTATGGAAACACAGTTTTTATAACACACCCCCCCATCAGACCCTGCCCAGACGCACTCAGGGAGGCCCAAGCACTCTCCACCCGGGGGCCAGAACACGGCGTGACTGGGCTGCACATTTATCCAGCAAAGGATGAAGAAACAGGTGGAAACTCCAAGGAGCCCTTGCGCGAGAGCCGTCCCTGCCGGGAGCACGGACCCGTTTCTGTAGAGGCAGCTTTGCATGGGCAGGCGTGAAACTGCACAAAATCATTTCCCGATGCAAACTGGCCACCGGCCGAGCACCCCGCTACGCTTCCTCCCTGCGAGACCGTGCCCTGACGCTAAAGAGAAGGTTGCAGAGAGACTGCCAAGATCCCTTGGATTTTCCCGTTTCCCATTTTGAGTGTTTTGGCACTTCTTAACACCCCGAGCAGCAGCTCGAGAGGACGAGGGGGGAGAGACCCAGACCCTCAAACCTCCTGCCCCGCCACCGCTTACCTGTCAACCGCAATAGCCGTGAGCGTGAAGACAGAGACGTAAACCGTCATGGGCTGCATCAGGAACACGAAATAGCACAAAAACTTCCCGAAAACCCAGCCCTGGGGGTTGAAGGCGTAGGCCAGGGTGAAGGGCACGCATGTGGCACACATCAGCATGTCGGAGAAAGCCAGGTTGCCGATGAAGAAGTTGGTGACGTTGTGCATCTTCTTGGTCTTGCAGATGACGTAGAGGAGCAGGTAGTTGCCGAAGATGCCGACGAGGACGACCAGGGCGTAGCAGGGGATGATGAGGGGTTTGAAGGATTGGATGAGCTGCACCCCGGTGAACTGCGTGCTGGCGTTGGGGCGGTTCTGCAGGGCGAGCTTGTAGACGGTGGCGTTGGCCTCAACCCCGTCCCCCTCCATGGCTGCGGCTCAGCCCCTCTGCCTGCAGGCAGGAGGGAAAACCCCTGACTCAACACCCCAAAATCCAGCGGCTGTTTTAGGGGCCCACGGGGTGCATCCTGCTCCTCATCACAGCTCTGCTGCGGCTGCCCCCCACCCTGCACCCGGGGAGGCTCCTCAGGATGGCGGCTTCGTCCTGGGGGCTCCTGGGGAGGGAAATGGAAAATCAGGCTCAGAAAAGGGTTGATGCCAGCAAGCAGCCCTGTATGGGGAGGGAGAGACAGCCCCAAGCGCAACAGCAGTTACAGCTCAGGGGCAAGAGGAGAAGGAGAAGGAGAAAAGCAGCGGGGCTGAGCGCGGGCTCGGGAAAAGCACTTACCGACTTACCGAGATCTCCCTGCCACCCCTTTACTGAAGCGTTCGCAGCAATCCTGCTTCTGCCCCAGCCCAGCCGGCGCGGAGGGAAAGCTGCTGGCAGGAGGAAAAGGGAAGCAGCAGCGGAGCCAGAAAATAGCTCCTAATGTTTCTGGAAATAACAAACGACGTTAATGGATAAACGAATAAAGACGCTCTGCTACTTTTGCGCTGCCTCAAAGCCTCGTGCGCCTGCACCCCGCTCATCCACCCCCTCATGAGATGAGCCAGGCTCCCCACAAACGCCGAGTCCGGCAGCAGCCAGCCTGGCCGCCGCTGCTGCAGGTTGCGGGGCTCAGCCGAGACCTTTCCGGAGACCCCGGCACAGTCCCACCAAAAGCCCCGCTGGGTTGTCACGGAATCGACTGCGAAGGGAATGGGACGGGGTGTGAGGAGAAAATTCAGGGGCAAAAATCAGATCAGTCCTGGAAGAGGCAGCACCTTCCCCATCCCTGGCACAGAGCGCTCTGCCAGACCCCCGCGGGCCCCTGCCCGGGGCAGCCCCCTCCCATATCCCCACCTGCCCCCCGCCCGCTGCATCATCTCACCACCCGCCGCAGCCCAACTTTAACTCCCTGGGCTATTTCCACACGTTAGCCCTCGCTCTCGCCCACCACAGGACCTCCCACCCTGTTTATTTCTCTCCGTACCAGACGTTACTTCACCCTCAAGCCTTCACGTACCTGACCTGGTGAGACCGAGATGCACCGGGCGGGTTTTGGGGGTCCTCAGGGGAGCCCAGCGCAGAGCCGCACCCGGCCACGGAGTTTCGTGTCGCGACTCAGCAGCCCCCCCAAGAGCTCCACAGCCCGAAGTTGCATTAAGGGGGGGGGTTAGATCAACTTCCACCCACCGTGCCCGCTTCACCCCGCGCCTTTGCCAGGCGCCTGACCTCGAAGGGCGCGTGCGGAGGCAGGAGAGGCGTTTGGGCACAAAGTGCCTCTTATCGAACACTTACAGCTGGATCCAAAGCCGTGAAGCCGCCCCCCCCCCC